AAAGAAGTACAAGGTAATCCAAATAATAGGCCCAAAAGAAGGCAGAACGAGAGGAAATCAAAAGATACTAAGATGGGCTCCTCTACTCTCTTCCTTCCAGGCATAAGAAACACAAAATGCAGTCTAGACTAGCTCATTTCTAAAAGCCGAAAGATGAGTTCGATGGGTATAGCAAATCATGGAAGTCAATGATGGTCGGTTTCCAGATTTACCCCCTTTGTTTTCTGTCCCTTTTTCCCATGCAGTTTTTTTTTTTTTTTTTTTTCGAAAGGCTTTGGTACCATTTGAGACTTTTTGAGGAATGTATAGAAATATATAATCCAAACAGATTTTCAAAAGAGTAGCCATTAAACGAAATGGTAGACAGAATCCAAAGGCCACATCAAGCAACCATAGGGAAAAGGAGAGCTACAACCAAAGCCAATACAATATCAATCTTGTAGAAAACCAGGGGCAATAAAGAGTGGTACCAATAGGCCAGCCAAATAGCTAAAGCTGCAGGCGGCAGATGTATAGATTTTTAGAACAAAAGTGCATACCTGCCAGCTACAACTTGACGACAAATTTTCCACAATCAAACGGTATTGAGGATTTCGTTGAGGAGGTGCAAATCGGCTATTAAAAAGAATAACAAAATTTTAATTGAGATGTTAATGGTAAAAAGTCTATAAACAATCAAGTTATTTCCATTTGGGCACCATACCTGCCGCGATCGCGATCTCGGTCATCGCGGCGACGATCATCTCTATCTCTGTCTCTATCTCGACGATCATCTCTATCTCTGTCTCTACGGTCATCACGATCACGACGTCTACGTTCTCCTCTAGCATATTCAACAATCAATCTATATTATATAAACAAAATTTAGTGAAAATTTCAAATGAAAATTTGCATTAGTAAAACTCTTGGGAGTGCAATTTGGATTACTTAAGCATATTTGCAATCATATTGTTTAATAGCCGTAAATTTTTCCGATTAAAAAAAAATCGACTTTCGTTAAAAATTTGCACTTACTTC